CCCCCCCCCCCCCTCTCAGATCAGCTGTGCTCACATTTTGTTCCATCACTGGCAAATCAGCAGTATTGATTTAGCAATGCAGCTTTATTTGTAAAACACATTTCACTTACAGGGCAATTCAGAGACTCCATCGAAAAACTGGGAAAACAGAAATCCAAAGACATGAGACACAAAATTCAAGATAAAGAGAGAATAAGTGTAAAAGTACAGTGAAAGAGAAGAGAAGGAATTAGATGACGTCACTCGTTGTGAACTTGATAATCTCAACGTGTGAATTTAAAGAGAATCAGAACAGAGATTTGATCCGTGTCCCTGCTCGTCTGTCTTCATGCCATCGTTCACGTGTTGTCTTTGTGTGGACACTGTGTGTGTGTGTGTGTGTGTGTGTGTGTGTGATACGCTGTGTACTTCCTTTGTGGAGTACACCTGTCTGCAGCTCTGGCTGTCATCAGCTACACTCATACTGTACTTTATTGTGTGTAAACTAAATACTGTGTGTGTGTCCTGTGCTCTGTTGTGTTATAGATAAATGGTATTGATGTGTCTGTTGTGCGTTGTGACACGTACGTTACTGTGAAGTCTGTGTGAGCGTCACTATGTGTGTGTGTGTGTGTGTGTGTGGTAACAGTTGTGTACGTGTATGTGTGATTAAAAACACAACCTTCAATGGGAGCGCTAACGAGTAAGTGCACTCTTCTTTCTTTATTGTTGGGTTTTATGTAAAGTTGCTCAAATGCTCTCAGGTATGGCGGCTCTAAACGGAGGCCTGGGCGGCGCGGGGCTTACCAACGGGACGGCGGGCACCATGGACGCGCTGACGCAGGCTTACTCAGGGATCCAGCAGTACGCCGCCGCAGCGCTGCCCACCCTCTACAGCCAGTCCCTGCTGCAGCAGCAAGGGGCCGCGGGCAGCCAGAAAGAGGGTCAGTAACACGGGGCCACGTGACCGCTGCTCAGTGGGAGGTCGATTTCACACTGTTACAGAAACACGGAGCACAAACACGTTCGCAGTGTTTCCTGCAGGACTCGACCACGTGGCGCTTTTCAATGCAGCTGAAACCCGATTGTTATTATTACTATTGTATTATTGTTGTAAGTACGATATTAATCTTCTCATGGACAAACTACGTAGACGTGATTATTTGATAATTAAACTCATTTTAAATTTTATTTTATCTTGAAAGTTAACCCCGTGTTATTTTGTCTCGTCAAATATGATTGCGTATTTGAAACCATTTAAATTACTTTTGAAAGATATACAGTTGTTAAATTATTCTTCAGCCAAGGAATAAAATCTTAATTTCTTAATAATCCTTAAACGTCAAGGATTTTCTTTTTTTTACCAAATCCAAAATGTACAGTGGATATGAATTCGTTGCAGAATCATATCATCAATGTTCCGGTTGATAATTGAGCATTGATTTGATTATATGATAAATAGAATATATATATATATATGTGTCCATCAGCGCTGTGGCAAAGTGGCACAGAACCTGAGGGCAGAAGTAAAATTTACCCCAAAGCTTTCGACGACAGCTCTGAATACAAATCAGATGATGAAACCTCTCGTAAAACAAATAGAGCCACATCCTGTTTGTTTGTGCGCTTCTCATCTCGGCTTCCAACAAAGACAAATTTGCAAAGATGCTCTGTGTCTTTGTCAGTCCATGAGGGGGATCAAAACCCACCGGGGAGACGAAGACGTGACAAATATCCGGCTCCCCCCCCCCAGCTTCGTTTAGCAGTGGAGTTTAATGACTCCGAGAGATGTGACCTGTCGGGATTATCAGGACGTGTGATGGAAGCAGGGAGGTCGATCTGTGACACGAGACGCTGAATGAGTCGAAAAGCAGGAAAAACAGGGAACTGGCAGAAATATAATCGTTAAATAAGAAAAAGTAAAAGCTTCCGTCTTTGTATAATGTTCAGTGCAATTGCAGAATGTTGTTTGAAAGCAATAACAAACTCAAGGTCACGCCATATTGTGCTAAGCGGCGTTCTTCACCCCGTTCCTATGACGACAGCGCACACAATGCAGCGCTGCGTCTCCTGCAGCTTTGCTTGAATGAAAAAAAAACGGTCTGACCTGAAACCTGCTCTGCATCTCCCTCCTTCCTCCCCGCCAGGTCCCGAAGGTGCCAACCTGTTCATCTACCACCTGCCCCAGGAGTTCGGAGACCAGGACATACTGCAGATGTTCATGCCTTTCGGAAACGTGGTCTCTGCCAAAGTCTTCATCGACAAACAGACAAACCTTAGCAAGTGCTTCGGTACGGCTGCAGCACAGGCGTCGGTGTGAGCTCCCGAAACATGGGAGACAAACACAAACGCCTGCAGACTTCTTTTCTTTTTCTCTGCTAGTCGTGTCTCGCTCATGTCGAACGGGAAGATGAAAACTTTCTTTGAGATATTTGTGATTTGATGTCAAACCTCTTTCCCATGTGATGTGAAATTAGCGGTAAATTCAGTCGTAACAGTGACTTAAAGTCAGATTTATGTACATGGCACATTAACAGGAGCTCATAATCATCAACACAAGCATGGGTAGAAAATACAAGTACACAGTAAAATACAAGTACACAGTAAAATACAAGTACACAGTAAAATACAAGTACACAGTAAAATAACATGAACAGAATCATAAGACAGACTACAGTGGGATTTTTTGAATTCACAGTATTTCTTATCGCCGTTATTTTTGCTTTGCTCTGGACGTGTTGTTTCACTTTCGTCTGGCTTCGTTCTGTCGTTGTCTCGTTGTTGCAACAACTCGTGCCGTTTCCTCACGGGAGGCGTTAAGGTTTAATCTTTTCTTATTGTGTAGCAGAGGTGTGTTTTAATGTTTTGAAGATGGAAATGTAATCAAATCTCAAGACACAGACGAACATGGTGTGGGTGTCTCGTGTAGCGTTTCAACATCAGCTTACTTTGGCGCCTTAATTATGAGGAAGTATAGTTACTGTGAGTAGAATACCACGGTCTCACAGACAGTCTCAGAATAGGAGGGATTCAGAGGAAACAATGAGGATTGTGGGAAATAACGTAAATAATAGATAACATAAATACGAGGTTTTGAGAGTTTGAGACCCGAAAAGCTTGTTTCCTTCTCAAAGCACATTCATTTGTGTAGTTTAGCTCATTCCTGGTTGATCCTCTGATTGTTATTTGGTCCCATACACACAAAGAAAGCTTAATGTGCCGTTTGACGTAACTTCAGACGACATTAAATACTTGTCTGTTCTAATGTGTACGTTTTAAAATTTCACCTTCAAACAGAAATATATGGAAATAGCCTCTATCTGCTTAAATGATCAAAAACAACCAAATCAACCAGAAACTCCAGTGTTGAAATCTGAAAAAATACCAACTAATCTTTAATTCTTGAATTGAATCTGTCGTCTCATTCTTCTCAATTAATGTAGTTTCTCTACTTCCCTCCGGTGTCTCCGCAGGCTTTGTCAGCTACGACAATCCAGTGTCGGCGCAGGCAGCCATCCAGGCCATGAACGGCTTCCAGATCGGCATGAAGCGGCTGAAGGTGCAGCTGAAACGCTCCAAGAACGACAGCAAACCGTACTGAGCTTAGCACTAGGGTCTATCTGCTCCCCATGTTAGCACTGCTAGGGTAAGTCCCCCCTCAAAAAAAAAATGAAAATGGAAAAGAGAAAAANCTCATTTGGATCTGTTTTCCGGGAGGGTTTCAGGGAGGGAGGGAGGGAGGGAGGCGATAAAGGGGGAGGGGTGGGAGAAGAAAATGAATCAATGTGAAAAAGATATAAAGCTGCATTCATATGAAAAAACAAAAAAAGACTTGAGATTTTTATGGAAAAACAAATGTTCTTTTTGGAGAAAAAAAACAAACGACAACCTGTGGCAAAGTGACTTCCATTCAGTATGTTTTCTTGCATTTTTTTTCCGTTTCTTCTTCTTTTTCTTCTTCTTTATGTCAGTTTTTCTTTTTCTTCTTCATTTAAAGTAAACTTGAAAGTTCACTACAGGAATTGGCGCGTCACCTTGCTTCTGGTGCCGGTGAAACACAGATCGCGGGCCAGAAGCAGTCCGCGCCAGTTTCTCTGAGAAATAAGACTACTTCCAAACAGTTTTGAATAAAAACTGTCTGATCAATATTAGACTCTCTCAGAGCTCTCTAATGGTTTTTACATTTTTCAGGCAGTGTAAAGTTTTTTGATAAGGCCATTTTAAGTGGCTCTGTTTCTCATTCAAAGTCTATATATAGAACCACTTTTTTCTAGAGTAGTTTAAAGGTAAAAATAAAAAAAGACATTTGCCCTGTTTGGGGGGGAGAAATGCTACCTACTTGTGTCACCTTTTGCTGAACTGACTCACAGATAGACAATCCGTGGTTTAAATGCACATGATGAAATGACCTATATTTTCTACTGTTTAAATGTATAGAGGAAAAAAAATACTAAGATACCTGTAACCCGCGTTAACGTCGGTGCTTCTTGTGAGTTTAGTTGTGGTTTCATCACAAGTCTAACGGTCTTAAATGTCTCATGTTTTTCAAGAGAAGACTTAAAAAATCAGTTTACTTGAACAATAGACGGGGGGGGTGGATTGAAGGGAGGGATGGGAGGGAGGGGGAGACGACCTACAACCGCCCCGAGGGAGACACGCACGCCTTGTTTTTTTTTTATTTTCTTTTTTTGGAGATTCTTATGTTAGGTTTCAAGTATTATTATTTATTACAATTTTATTTTTTTGACACACATGAACGCTTCCATTACGTCATTACTTTGTGCAGTTTTTTGGGTTTTTTTTAACAATGGAAGGAAACCAATATCCTGAGTAGCTTTTTTTTTCTTTCTGTCCGTTAAAAAGTTATTTAAAATTTTCTTTCTCAGCGATTATTTATACATTTTTGAGGACGAGTTACAGCCAGAACCGAGGCACAGACAAAGGAGCCATGATGATTTTTTTCCTCTCTCTCCCTCAATGTGAACCTGAGGCCTGGTGAAAGGTTCTTTTATTTTTTATTTTATTTTTTTCGACACACTCGCCGATATGCACATTCGCCCTTTGACCTCCACGGTGTTGGTTGCAGGCCGCCGCTGCTTTCTCTAAAACCCCTCCACGCCTGCTGGTAACCCGGGAGCAAAGGCTGCAAAAATGTTTAGTGGCCTCTTTTTACAGCATAGTCGGTGGCAACATCCGCCTGCCATACAATTACACACCACCTCCACAATATGAAGACAAACAGAGACACACACGCACTCCAGCTACGTCTTATTATTTATGTCAAAATGAAAATAAAAAACAGCTTTTTTTATTTCTCAGAAGATGGAAAAAATAATTAGCAACTACTTTTCTGGGTCAGATCACATTGGTCTTTGTTGTGAAATGGATATTAAAGCATGTCGAACATTTTCAAAACATCATCCAGAATTTGATGAAGGCTATAATATTAATAATACTACTAATACAAGAGTTTATGGGTTGAGGGGGTAACTGAAAATACTTGATGTTTGTTGAAAGATTTAAAAAATTCAAAGTACAGAAAGCCACAGGCCTGTAAATTTTATTTGTAAAAAAAGCAGTTCTATTTTTATACAACATTTTTACTGCCTCAGATGAAAAAAAAAGGATTTTATTTATTGCCTATCGTTAAGTTATTGGACTCCTATAAAGAATACAGCATCATTAAAGTAGACCCTTGTGGAGAAGTCTCGTGGAATCGGGTTCTCCGGTGTTTTTCCTGTTTTTTCAGTGCAGAAATCACAACTCGCTCCACCGCCATGTGAACCGCAGCCTCCCCCCTTCTCTGTCATTCATCCATTCAAACACACACACACTTACCTGTGCTGTCCATCCATCCATCCATCCATCCATCCCTCTCTTTTCACCCCTCTCTCCCTCGCTCCATCCGTAGTGGGACTTCTTCCTCACTTGTCGAATTTCCACCTTTTTTTTCCTCACGTTTTTTACTTTTATATTTTTTGCGTGTTTTACGTTTTTTGTTTGTTTGTTCGTAGCGCCCCCTCCCCCACCTTTCCTCTCAGAAAAACTTTTAAGACATTTTAAAATAGAAAGGAGTGAATAGACATCG